CTGTGTAGGACACCTGGGAGGACAGGAACGGTGACTGGGCAGAGCGGAGGACACGGCAAGACACAGGATGGAAAGGACAGAGCACAGCATTGGGACGGCGCAAGACAAAGGACAGCGAACAGAAGACGAAAAGAAAACGCAGAACAGAGAACGGGGTGGAGGGCAGAGGCGGCGACACTTGGCATACGACCACATGCCAAACGTGTGCATATGTCATATGGACTGTTGGGCGGGGCGCAGTCCAGAGGGAAGAGGACAGAGGGCAGTACCAGCCAAAGAGCAGGAGACAGGACTAGGCAAAGTCGGCTCTGTTTTTTTCATCCTTTTTTAGGATCGATTCTGTTCTGCCATGGACAATAACAGGACACAAAAGGATAAGGTAAGGCAGGCAAGACAGGTCGCACCATGTCTCATTCCGTCCTCTGTTCCTTTGTCTCGCTCGTGTTCTGTCCAGTCAGCACGGAAATACACCACAGAGCCGTGCGCACTGCATGCCCATCGCGTGCACGACACTACCAACGGCGCAGCCAATACCCTTACCAGAAACATCCCAACGGCGGAGCCCCGTAATATCTTCGAAATGGTATTTAACACCCATCGGTGTCGCTCACAATCGTGCAGCCCGAAGAGTCGTCCTGAAATCGGCTGTAGCGCCAAAAGGCAGCACCAAATCGTCCATCACACATCTGATTCTGATCGTGTCGAAGTTTCGTGGTACCGGTTGAGTTATGGACCACCGGCCCGTTTGTGTAGGGATATGATTCTCGCTTTGAGTGCGAGAGATCCGGGGCTCAATACCGGACACGTGCGTTCGCTGTTGTCCATCGTATTTAGTTTCCACTCCGATGCTTCCAAATGTACATGGGTTTCCGGACCTCGGCCACCACGCACCTGTGCGTTTGGAGGCATCAACGCTGGGTGGACTTACGTTTGAGGGTGGATTGTGCTAAAGTATTATTACCGTCATGGTGATGTGCGCATCTGGTTGAACTATCAGCGATGTGGCCACACAGCACTCATCATTATTGAAATATTTTATTATCCAATGAGAATCGACTGTTCTGGCCAAATCGCTGCGTTAAGCAATAGCTGTATTTACTACCTGGACACAAGAAGAAAATAGAGTTCGCGATAAGTAACCACGATATCTTCGAGATATTCCGCGAAATAATGAAAGCTGCTCGTCGTCATACGCACGCACTCATATTAGTCATATTTCAGTATCACCAGATCATCATCGTCTCTGCGGCTATCACTTAACGTCTGCGCGTCACCTTCACGCTGAGCCTTCAGCTGACGCGCACGGATAGGGATTCTCCTGGCCGCTGTCAGGCATCGAGCCATGAAGGGAATACGGCTTCAGCGTCGCAACTTCGCGAGACGCTCGACGCTTCGCAGCGCTCCGACGACCACCTGAACTGCTGCGCACCACAGTAGCAACCGTACCTTCCACAACAATAACCGGGCTCGTCCGGGATTTGAACCCGGGACCTCTCGCACCCTAAGCGAGAATCATACCCCTAGACCAACGAGCCGACAATGCCGCTAATAAGGTCCCAATGCTGGGCCGCCCCGTTACTTTCACATCGTCCAGTGGACGGCACCGAGAGCACGCTGGCCACACCCTCCATCGTCTCACAAGGCTATAGCGTAAAGCGCTGGCTACAAACTGTCGTGAGGGAGCAGAACCATGGAGCCGAGGCAGGCCGTGATCATTGGGGTTGCGTTGGCGGTGACGGTGACGAGGCTCAAATTATTTATGGCGATGCATAAAATGGAAAAACCACTAGAACAGAAGGCTAGGACAGCAAACGGGCGAAAGATAGAGCAAGTCATGGCCGTTCATGTCCTGTCCAAAGCGGGACGAGACGGCATGGGACGGACAGCAAAACAGCAAGCATTCTGTTTGCATCTGTTCTCTTTCCTTGTGTTAGCCTCGTTATCTGTCCTTTCTCTTCTGATCCTGTCCCCAATCCTTGCATTTCTGCACTTTTCCTCATGTGCTCTGCCCCTCTGTCCAGCCTTGTCTGCCGTGCGCGCTCGTTCATTCTGTCCTGTGCGTTGTTCGCATTGCGTTCGCAGTCGTGTCCTCCTGCCCGGTGCTGTCTGTCTCTTTCTACATCAGTGTTCGGTGCACCAAATTTTTCGACCCCAAGCGATGTCACAAGTAATCTCACGTTGTGGGCTTCTGACTCTGTGTTGGGTGCGGACGGTGTGCCGGGAACCGTTACCTGAAAAATTTGAAGAAACGGCGCGGTCCACAACTGGGACGTTTAAATTGGTGTAATCGGCTTGTTGGTGTAGGGGTATGATCATTGATGCATATATGTATATATATATATATATATATATATATATATATATATATATATATATATATATATAATATGTATATGATCATCTATTTATATATATATACACATATATATACACACATATATATATATATATATATATATATATATATATATATATATATGCGTATGATCTAGGGGTATGGGGTATGGTCAGCTTCGGGTGCGAGAGGCTCCGGGTTCAAACCACGGACGAGCCCGGTTCCTGCTGTAAGAGTCACTCGCACACCTCCTCTGAGCGTACAAACGCATTTGGGTTTATGGGTCTTTCTGTGTCTCGTCTCGGCAGACTTTTTCACGCAAGCATTATCAGACAGACGTTACTTTTTACCAACTATAACATCCGCTAACCATTGGATTAGCTGCAACAGGACCATAATTTGTCGCCACGACTATAAAACTAGCCATAACTTCTCACAATGGGGGTGCGGGGGGCGTATAAATTCGATAACCATATTGTTGAACAGCAGTGATGGTGACGGGGCAAATTTGGGCTTAAATGTGGACTGTGACAGCCAGGTGTCATTGATGCCCTGAAGCTTCAATTTTTTATGAAAACAAATGGTTGTAAAATGCAACATATGGTGTGTGGCTCCTGCCAAAATTATCGCGGCTTGGCTTCCATTGCTGTTCGGCTCCGCAAGGATGCATTGCGTGAGGGCCAACTGTGAAGAACCTTGGCGTGGTGTTCGACAAGCACCTCATCTGGGTCTCTCACGTATCTGCCCTTGTCAAAAAATGCGACGGTATCCTCATCAGGCTGTCCCACGTGCGTCATGTCATCACATCCCGCCTGACCCTCCGCCTATCCTGGTCAACGCCTTGGTCCCCTTGCACGTCCCGCTATTGCCTTGCCGTCTGTGGCAACAGGCCGGAGAAAAACATACAACGCCCTCTAAAGATCTTGATCTTTGCGCCGGGTATTGTCACCGGCCGTCGCAAATGGAGGTGGGTAAGCGGCACGTGCTGTAAAGTATCGTGCGACTTTACGACACTTTCCCTCCGGAAGTCCAGACTTTATCACTCGCGTCTTTTAGGCGTGAACTGTGCGATCATTTAGCTGGAACTTGATGAATGTGTTGTGTACCTGTAAGGTATCTCTGTGTCATTGTTGCTACGAGTGTCCTCTTAGCATGTTTTGTTTATAGCATGTTTTTTTAGCGGCATGTTATTAGCATGTTTAGCATCATGTCAGGCAGAGCCTCAGTGCGAAGCGCTCTCCCACAGTCAAAGCCTGGAAGCCTGTTTCAGAGCTTTACGTTCACAAATCATATGGATGATGGTATTTCTCCAGAATGCACTTTCAGCGTTGTGTGCCCGTGTTCTGCCTATGTGTGTATAACCTATATTTTTTACGCCAGGAGACCAGGACCGAACGACATGTCGTTTAGTGTGCCTTAGTTCTAATCGTCCTAATGTTCTATTGCTTCTGAATCTGTGTCGTGATTATTTGTGCGCATGCTGTTTGCTCACGGAAGATGGGTTATGGCCCTTTAAAGGTGGTTACGATCTTAAAGAGATCCTGATTTCATCAAGTTCATTGCGTAATAGGCACCCCCTCGCTAGGCCTATTGACCAGCAACTTGCGAACATGCACTAGTTCCTGACAACAGCCTCAGGTAAGATTCTAGCTTTTGTCGGTTTCCTTGATGTCGGTTTATGTTAGATGTGGATGCAGTTTAATTTCAAGCTCTGGGCCTGGACGCACCCCCATCGGTTCACGACCAAAAAGTCGAATGAACAAAGGTGAATGACAAACATATATAACATGGATAATAAATACAAACATATGTAACACACACACACACACACACACACACACACACATATATATATATATATATATATATATATATATATATATATATATATATATCGGACCTTAGTTCCTGGTTCCGGGTAGTTCTTTCATAACTACCAGCCCTTGGTTCATGGCTCCCACTGCATCATCCGTAAAGACCATGCCCCGAGTTATAATTCCCACTGGTTATTCACAAACACTGGACTCAGGCTTCTTGTTTCCAGTGGTTCACGAAGAAAATACCAGATCCCAGCGCTGGTCTCTCATTAGTTTTTTCGTGAACACCAGCTCGGGTTAGCAACCGGCAGCTGTCTGCCACTGACCGCAAATCGCCTGAACTGAAAGATGTGTTGCATATTCACCCTTGATATTTACAAGTGCAACGAACATACATTGGGTGAATGCACTGGGGGATTCCCACTAGCTGATGACAAGAGTTCCAGGTAAGAACTGGTTATCACTGGTTATTTTAAGTTTGAACTGGATATTTGTTGTGACTTGATCCTCAGCCAAAAATCAATCTGAATCTAGTCTTGTTTAATTTCTGACCATATTTCAGGTTGGATCATAATTTTTGCGTGTCATCTTGGCTAAATCCAAGACTGGATTTTTGGTCTTCCTGGATCCCTGTGTATCTTCCAAGCCAGATCTCGGTTTTTGCTGAATCCCCTGGCTTATGGTCAAGTCGGATCCTAGTTTTACCTGGGTTTCTCGACTCAGTTTTGCATACTAATGCAGTTCCTGTTGAATCCCGAGCACGATTCCAAGCTGATTGTTTGGTTCTTTCTCGTTCCATAACCAGGAGCTAAGAACCGATCCGCGGAGGAAATCTTAAGAAACGGACACAAGTATCACTGTACGTATACTGCAGTACAGCACTTACAGCATATCATCAACGGCGACAAACGCACGAAAAACGCCAATTTCCTTAACATTCACCAAGCAATCAAACCGAGCATAAAAATGCCAACACCCTAGTTCCCACGACTTTCAAACGATAACAGAGCATGACACAGTTCACAATGCCTCTGTAAAAAGGCCTGCTCGGTATTCAGTTATATGTGGTATAGCTAAATGCGTTGTCATTACTTTGGGAGAACTTTTCTTGCTCTCGCCTCAAACGTTACCTAAATTTGACGCATCGTTATCTGTCGTCACATCGGTGGCATCTTTACTTTCAGCTATCATTGGGTGCCGTATCTAGTACCCAAGTAAGCACATGCAAGCGCCCTGTTTACAGCTAGCAAAAGCTCCAAATTTGGACATCCAGAAAATTTGTTCAGATAGGCTTTACACAGGGAGTTATCACAACAGGGTATTAAACATAACGTTCATGGTTAATCGATGCACTTCTTATTGTCCACTAGCTTCAATAACCTCTTCTGGACGTTTGAGAGTCCTCCCTTAACCTAAAATATGTATGGCAACAAACGGCAACCCCTGCAGGCTGTCCCAAGCAGCAACGGATAACGCATGCGATGTCCTCATGCGCTCATTTAAGCACTTCGGCACTTAGACCCCCTTAGTCAGTTCATCTGACCCAAAACTCAGCCTCGTCAGCGCTCTGAATATGCAGGGTGCACATGTCCGCCCGCCGCTCAGTCGACGGGGCCTCAGCACTTAAAAAGGCCCAGACTTAGGCCCCAAACGAGGCCCCAGCACTTCGAAAGAGGCGAGCGTGGCACTCCGAGGGAGCCGGCACGGGCCATGTAGATCCCTTCAACTCAGCCGACCCTGGGCGTCTGCCCACCGGTGCGGACGGGCCCTCAGCCGAGCGGCCCGCACGGGGCAGAACAGGCCGGCGGCCCGGCCACGCTTAGAACAGGCTGGCAGCGCGGCCACGCTCAGAACAGGCCGACCTGCTTCTTCAGCTGCTGACGCTTCCAGGCGGGCAGCGCGCCGAACGCCTCGGGCGTCATGCCGAACACCTGCTGGAACTCTTCGGGCGCCAGGTGGCGCTCCTTGACGGCCGGGTCGACGTCTGCCGGCAGACGATCCGGCTCACGCACGTTCAGTGCCGCCAGCGGGTAGGTGGGCAGCGGCTGGGCGCTGCTGGCGGCCAACACCTGGCGCACGCCTCGGTTGTCGGTCGCCACGCTGCGCCGCACCGCCTCCCAGTCGGGCTCGCTCTCCCACAGCGCGTCGTCCCAGGCGCCGAAGAAGCCGGTGAAGGTGGGCGGCTCGCCGGCCTGGCGCACCCGCACCACGGGCGTGTCGGCGCCGCGCCCCGCCGGGTCCGTGGCCAGGTACTCGAGCGCCGTGCGCTCGGCCAGCTCGCGCTCCTCACGGCGCGACTGGGCGCCCACCCAGACGAACACCACGCGCCAGGCGTCCAGCAGCATCACGTCCTGCGAGCACAAGTCGGCCTGCTCAAAGTCGACCACCTCGGTGACACGGAAGCGGCCGCTGGCGTCCGAGCAGTGGAAGAGGCGCGGCGGGTGTGCGGCCGGTTCGGACGCCGCCGGCCGCTCGCCGGCGTATGGAGCGCGGCCGCCCAGCGCCGCCCAGAAGGCGGTCGGCTCCTGGCCCTCGGACACCGTGTCCGGCTCCGGGTGCAGCTCGGCCGCCAGCCGTTTGGCCACCTCGCGCTCGTCGCCGGTGGCGCCGCGGCCGCACCACACGTACACCCGCGCGCCGTGACGCAGCACGAAACAGTCGCCCGAGTTGAGCGAGCCGGCGCGGCAGGGCACCTGGACGGCGCGCGCGCCGGTCGGCCCGGCGCCGCGCACGTGCAGCAGCCGCGGCCCGCCGTCGGGTGGCGCTGTCAGCACGACCAGCCGACCGCCGAACATGGCCAGGAAGTGGGGCGGCTCGCGACCCTGCACCACGCGCACCTGGACCGGCCGACCGTCCAGTGAGTCGTCCAGCTCGACCGCCTTCAGCGCGGCTGCACCACGCTCCAGCTGCGAGGCGCGCGCGCCCAACCAGTAGTAGAGCAGCTGGCGGGCGCTGCCGCCCGCCCGGTACGAGTATAGCACCAGGTAGCAGCAGCCACTGAGGAAGGTGCCGTGCTCGGCCTCGTTGACCGGCTGCAGCTCGGAGTCGGCCACGCGCCACACCTCCTTCTGGCCGCCGCCGTTATCGACCATCTGCGTCTGCGCGGCCAGAGCGCGGTTTTCGTGCAGCGTCGACGCGTCGAAGCTGGTCTGAATGGTGGGCGCGATCTTGCCGAGTGCCGCCATCTTGCCGAGGCCGACGGGCGCGTGCTTGTCACGCCAGCTCTTGAAGAGGGTCTTGAAGTCGGTCGGCTCGCCACCATCGATGACCCGGGTCACGGGCGTGCTGATTGGGTAGCCCTTCTTCTTGATGAAGCCCTGTGCGTTGCGCATGGCCTCGGCGCGCTCCTTGGCGCTCGCGCGCTTGCCCACCCACACCCAGATACCCTGCGGGCCGTTGTCGATGATGAACGAGTCGCCCGAGTCGAGGTCAGCCTGCATCAGCGGGCCGCTCTTGACCTCCACTACCTTGAGCGTGCCGTCCTGGTCGCTGCAGCGGTACAGCTTGATGTCCTCGGCCCGCCGGCGCTCGTGCCGTTCGTCGGCGTCGACGGTCGCCTCTGACTTCACCTGGCGCTGCCGCAGAGGCAGCAGGCCGTCCAGCAGTGCCCGCTCGCTCGCCGGCAGCTCCTCCTCCCGGCCGCTCTCCACGATGATGACGTCAGCGCCACCGTGCTCGCTCTTGAGAGCCTGCGCCAGCCTCGCGCCCTGAATCTTCTCCATCTTGTTGGCGGTGCGCCCCGTCCACACGAAAATCACGTCACGCGCGTCCACCACGAACACATCGCCGTCGTTCAGGTGCTCCCAGGCGACGGCGGGCAGCTGGCGGATCAGCGGGTTACGGCGGCCCTTGACCGCGTACAGCACGGGCGCGAACGCGTCGCTGACGTGCGTCAGGCCGCTGGCCGTGCCGCCGTCCAGATGGCGCAGCCCGGCCGGGAAGTAGGAGCGGAAGCGGGAGCTCTCGGTGCCCTCCAGCTCGCGGTGCTGCACGGCCGCGCCGCCCAGTAGCTCGTCCAGCTCCACCGTCTTGTAGGCGGCCACGCCAGCCTCGTCCACCGACGCGCCGGAACCCAGCCAGAAGTGGACATGCGTCTCGAGCGGGCCGCGGCCGGCGCCGGGTGCCGCACCGCGCTCGCTGCAGCTCAACACCACGTACGCGTCGCCGCGGTGGAAGCGGCCGTGCTGCTCGCGCGGCACCGGCGCCAGCACCATACTCTCCACGCGCCAGACGAGGAAGCAGGGCGCGCGGCGTGGCACGCTCCGGAATGCCGGGTCGGTGGCGGCCATGGCGGCCCGCTGCACTCTCGCGGCACTGCCGGGCGTCGGCGAGACCTGCCGAGCTGACCGAGCTGCCGTCCGCCGCGCCGCCGGTCCCGCGGCGCCACCCGGCTACACTGGCGCGCCCGCCGCGGCCGGCCGCACGCACCACCACGGCGGCAGCGGCGGCGGCCGAGGTGGGGGCCGCGGCGGGTCGGCCGCGCGGTGCCGTTAGGTGACCCCGGGCGGGCCGCCGCCGCCGCCGCCGCCAGTCGGCCAGCCGGCCGGCCGGCCGCTGACTCACCTCCAGCCGCCATCCCTGGCGATCGATCGGAGGAACCGCTGTGGTCGGCTCGGCCGCGGCACCAGGAACTCACTGTCGGGGTGACTCACTCGCAAGTCACGTGGTCGGGTAGGAAGCCACCACCGCATCCGGCCAGAGGACACCAGCGATAACAGCGGAAGCTTTCCGTGCCCTAAATCATGTTATGAACTGGCTATCCGTAGCCAGAGTAGGGCCGATCTGAGCCGATCATGAGCCAGTCAAGACTTGAGCCTCGCGTGAAACGTCGCCCAATATTTCCTACAGATGATACGTTTATGCCGCTAAGTAAACCCTTAGCAAATTATCAACACAGAGCCTCTCCCTCACCAGGTCTTGTGACTGGCTGGTATGTAGAAGTGGTCTGAAGCCATAACAAACACGCAAATATGGTCCTGGGCCTGTTGGTGGGAGCGCATGACCTAACGCGATCAGACATTGGTTATTTATTGACATCTTTGGACCGTGTCCAAGCGATGCGGACCAATGGTACGGAGTTCTTTTCGGACCCGAATAAGGTGACACGATAAAGGCATGCATTAAGCGTTCCTAATCCGAATGCCGTTTCCTTCGTGTTATGTTCGGTACTTTGCGGCGTCTTGGTGTTGTGTTTTGTATTTTACGGCGCCTTGGTGCTGTGTTCCGTATTTTACGGCGTCTTGGTGTGTTCTGTATTTTACTGCGTCTTCAGCTTCGCCCGCGTTGCCGCCTGCTCATGTCCTCTTTCCGACTTTATCCTCTGCATTCGTGGCAAATGATCGTTATCTGTTCCAGCTTCAAGCCGTTTTTTAAGGGCAGTATCATGATGGGACATCGGCTTAGGTCGCTGGTGAAGTGCAAGGCAGCACGAACTGACAAGTCACACTTGCCGAACACGTAACCCCACACATAAAGATGTCCATGAAGTTAGCGACTTGCTTAGCGACTTAGTCGTTATACAGCTGCTATCAAAATATATAGGTTGCGACGAAATTCGATTTCAATGAAAAGGCGCCAGAAAGTCAATTGCGGCACAAGAAGACTACATCTGGCGTGTGTTTTTTTTTAATCACATGCACTTCGGGTCAAATTCAAGGTCAAATGACGGGTGCATGCGGTACATTCAGATGGCGTTTCCGTGTGGTACCCCTGGGAAGCTCATGCCCCGGCATTCCGCACAGTTCAGTAGCAATAACGAGACTAAAGCTTTGCGTTCTGTTCTTGTGGATCTTGTGGACCAATGGGTGTGATTCCATAAGCCAATGCCAAAAACAAGTCATGGCATGTCAGCGACGAACCAGTCTCTGTTATGCGATATCGACAAGTTCAAGGGGTGCACTTACGCACGCAAGCTCAGACACTTAGGTGGGCGAGCTTAACCCCACGTAAGTGAGGTCAAGCATTTTATGCCAGTAAAAGCCAAGCAGCAAGACCGCATCAAGAGGAAGTTCGATTTTCCAGCTGAGCCAATACCGTATACGCAACGGAGAACCAACGGACGGACGAGGAACCAACGGAACCAACAGACCGGCGCAAGGCGCATGTCCGCAGTGGTCGCCGGACAAAATTTCTTATGCGAACGGTAGAACGAAAAAAAAACATAGAACGTAAATAACGGATAACAGAGGGGTAAATAGAGGGGTTAATATTTCATTGGGGTTTTCTTTCCACTTTGACTTATTTTTCATCGGTCATCCGCTCCATTCCATTGCTCATATTTGCTTCTTGTTGTTTCTGAATATATGCGTCTTACTAAGTTCTGCTCAACCATTGCCTGCGTACCTACCGCAGTTATGTATAAGATAATGCGTAAGAAACAAAAAGTTGGAATGTGAAACAACAAAACTGACCACCAGCTAACGCTGACTAACTGGTGGGAAGGCATTAAACATTCCAACCGCATAAGCAACTACGTAAACGCACTCAGTTTACTTGCTTCGAGCAGATACCCCGCCAAAGGAGTAGGGGCTCCGCCTTCCAATTTTGGATAATATGGAGCTATCGGCAGGTGTGGTTTGCTTACATGACACCAAACGGGAGCATCATTTTCTGTTCGCCATTTGCTTAAAAATTGCCGGCCCCGCGTGCCTACACTGGAATTAAGTATTTATGTCTGATGACTTTGGCTTAGAAATATTTCAGCTTTGATAAAACCTTTCAAGGTGCGAGATAACTTGATCAAGTTATTTAAATGTCACTGGGTACTGCTGGATACAAAATATTCAAAACTGATATTAGAGTTACAAGGAATATTCAAAGGTACAACAACCGATTTTCAGTGCCAACAAATGAATATTCCCAGTGCTTTAAGCAAAGTGCAGTGACAAGACATTATTTTAAATGATTCAGTTCAGAGATACCAAGGGCAAATCCAGTACGTCAATAACAACACTAAAAGGAGAACATGTTTTGTTTTTTCCAAGACTTAGTGGTCTTGAGGCTTAAAACTGCGATGGCCTCGTTATCTGCTATGCAGGTAAAGATGAAGGACTGCTGGCAGCTTTAGATCCACAGCCTACATATTTGTAGCGATAACGGTTTGCAGCCACATTTCGATGTTAACCAAATGCTGGGCTCTTGTGTATAGTATAACATCTGGCATCAGCACTTTTTGATCAGAATAAGCATTTTTGACTGCGGGCCGAAGTGTTTCACTAATTCACGTGCCAATGGTTATTCGGACAAAATACGACCGGAATTTGTAAAAAAAAAGAAGAGAACTATGTTGGACTGCGATTGCTGCTGAAAAAGCTTCGCAACCACTCAAAGCGGCGTTTGGTCTTTGGTGGCGAATGGCATTTGTATGCACAAGTGGTACACAACTGTGCATTTCCGGAACGTTTTGATGTTGATAGCTATGGTGGTCATAGATGGCGACTTGGTACTGCGGCTATACTGAATAAACTGTTGTGTTTCCAATCCGCGCGCCAACAATTACGTTGAAAAAAGACTGGAATTTGTAATAACTAATTCGGACTGTAGTCGTTACAGTTGAAGGTTGACAGCCACTCAGGATAGGAAGCCTTTGAAAATGAATGACATTTGTGGTGATGCATCTCCGAATGGCGTATTTCCGATAAGTTTCCTTGTCGATAGCCGCGATGGTCGTAGATGGTGGCCCCTTGCTACGGCTGGACTGAATGCACCTTTTATTAAGTGCTCATGGTCGTCTTCTCCGATGTCATGATTAAAGTAGGTATGGTGGGAAGAATGGCTTTGAACTTCTCTTCACGCTCCGTCACAAATCTCAAAAAGGCATCCACACTTAAGCCGAAATAATTTTCCAAGACTTCGACCGTTGTGAAAGAGAAATTGCAACAGCAGCCTCAGTTCTGAAAAATTAATTTAGCGGCCCTACGTGCTATCATGTAACACCCTGATGAGCTTTTCTCGCTGACATATCGTCGTTGTACGCTCTGTCGATCATTAACCTGAAGAAGGATATCTTGTCATTGGACACATTTTGGCTCCAATTTTCATTTAGTAACAAACACAAGTCATGCCAGTTTTGTCCTTCGCTCATTCTTTCACTTTCCAGCCACACCATAGTTTATTTTCCATCCCAGTTGCTATACCTTCCTCAGTTTTTGCAATGGTCTTGCGGATTGCTGAAGAAGGAGAAAGAGAGATATAGAGAGATTTGGAGAGAGAGAGCGGGGAAATGGGCAGATAGAGGGAGGGGAAGGTAAATAGATATTTACATGCATATATGTATATATATGTATATATATATATATATATATATATATATATATATATATATATATATATATTCATTCATGTCTCACGTGATCGACAACATCGACCAAATCGCAGATTTGTTCGATATCTCTCCTGTCGACATTTCGAGCTTCGCCAAAATCTCGCCTGAGGCATGTTTCCCGGTCAACATGCACCCCGTGGATTGCACCAAAAGACGACTTCTTATCATGTTTACCAGAAATTTTTATGTCTCCAGTGTTCGTTAAAATAAAATTTATTTCTTGCAATATTTTTAGTTAAGTGATATTTTTTCTTCGACCAATTTCATGAAATCAATTTGCGTTTAGTTATTGGCGGTTTATATTTTCATACGAGTGCGTAGTTTTTTCCCTGATGCACTGTCAGCGGCGGTTTCAGATTGGAGCAATGATAAATTTAAGAGGGGATTGATGATCCAGGACCCATGGTCAGCTAATGCCTTTTTGTGAGGCGCATCACGTTTAGCGCTATGTAAAGATATCATTATGTATATTATATATGTAGATATTAATACAATATCACGTACACATTGGTCTTAATATTAACTCATGGCACCAATAGATCAGTAACTTGGAGCTCTCGGCATACAGGATCACCACATGTTGGCACCTACAGGCTGCAGCCAAATAAAGCTTAAAAACTGTGTCAAAATCAGCGTAAAATTTGTCTATCTGTGTCAGCTCCATGCGCCAGCAAATATTTTACAGGATACACATGGTCACGTGGGCCCGGCGAGATAATTCGTCGGCTCTTGGTTCCGTGGGCCGGAGATCCAGCTGGCGCCGTGAACGGAGGCTGGTGGTCTGTCTGCAGACTGAGCCGTGGCACGCGGCGGCATGGGCAGCCGGGTCGGTGGCCGAGGCTCGTGTTTTTGCTGCAGCCGCCGCTGCGGGGCGGCCACGGAGCGCACAGGTGTTCGGGACGCCGCGCCGGCGTCTCGCGAATGTCGGCAGACACGGGGCGGCCGGAGCAACAGGTGTACCGGTAC